AGTTTCACTCTCTAAACTCACATATACCAAGAAAACTGAGCTCACCTTAAGCTTTCCAGTTTAGTAATGCCATTTTATTTTGCTTTTGAAATCAGAAAACCAAGAAGCAACAGTATCCATTCTTGCTTTTCCCCTCAGAATTATTATTATTATTATTATTATTATTATTACTTTTTTATCATTATTATCATCATCATATTTTAAAGACTGGGGTATCAGGTGTGGTTACTGTAGGATGCTGTATTCTTTCTCAGTTGGTGATGTACAGTTCAACTTCATTTCCCTTCAGGCTTTGCCACATTTTTAGTCAGAGCTCAGACTTTTTCATGAGGGAAAAATGCTTATGTTTCAGCACAGTCTCATTTTAGCAAATAAAATATGCATACAGTTTCAATGTATTGTATGGATTGTTGATTTATAAGATTGTATTTTGGAGTCCAGATAATGACAAACTAACTTATTTCTATTGTACTTTTTTCTCCTACATTCCTTGAAGCAGTGAAGTTGACCTTTACATTCTGGCTTTTATTAGAGAAAACTAAATCAGTAAGAAAAAATAATATGGACATTTCTGTAAATGCCATTTGAAATCTCATTGCATGCACTTGCCGCAGTGATAGAAGGGGGAGTTAGCCAGAGAAACTGTCAGCAGACGAAGTGTTTCTTAGTGACAGATCCATTTAGCCCCATTTCTGGTTCTACTCAGCAAAACAGAAATCACCCTTTGCATTCTAGGATGACCATAACTAATCAATGGGAGTTGCCCATAGTTCATCAATTTTCTAGTCTTGAAATATTGTGTTGGTGCCCACATCAGAGAGCCAGCTATCTTACCAAAGGCCAGTGGCCAGCTACTCTGGAGTCTCAGACCATCTTCCTTCTATGTCAGCCTTTCAAAGCACAGTACTCTAAATTCTTGGTCTGTACCAACAAGCTTGGTATCCTTTAAATATCATTTTTACTTCAGTCCTATAATGGCTCCCTCTTTTATGCTCTCTGTCTTTCTCTCTCTCTCTCTCTCTCTCTCTCTCTCTCTCTCTCTCTCTCTCTCTCTCTCTTTCTCCTGTCTCCTATTCCTCACCTGACTCAAATTTCCTAGTCCCAAGTGCTTTCCTCTTCTCCCATTTTCTTTCTCCTAGTTCCCTCTCCACTCACTGCCCATCTCCACTCCCCATGTGCTCTGGAGAACTTGTCCCTTCCCGCTTCTGTGAGGGACCTTATATGAATCTCTTAGAATCCACCTTGTATCCTAGTTCCTCTGGCGGTGTGAATTATAGGCTGGTGATCCTTTGCTCAGGGTCTAAAATCTGTACATGGATGAGTACATACCATGTTCCTCTTTTTGTGACTGGGTTACTTCATTCAGGAAGGTTTTTCAAGTTCCATCCATTTGCCTGCGAGTTTCAAGATTCCATTGTTTTTTTCCACAGAGCGGTATTCCATTGTGTAGATGTGCCACGTTATAGGATTGAAGAGAAAACTGAACCTAAAGAAATGTTCAGAGACCTATAAGACTGACTCTCACTAACAATTTGAGCAACAGTGGAAAGGCTACCATAAATGCCCTTCCCTGAAAATGAGATCAATGATTAACTTATCCACCATCATGGAGCCCTAAACACTGAGCCAAACTAGAATCCAGATCCAGAGAGGGAGGACAAGACCACACTGCAGAAACACAAAGAGACAGCAGACCTGAACAAGGAGGAGCTTACGGGCCCCCAGAGTGATAGCTGGGAATTCAGCATGGGACTGACTCAGACCCCCTGAACATGGGTCTCAGCTAGAAGGTCTGAGCAGTCTAAGGGACCACAGACCATGGAACCAGGATGTTCTCATGGTGCACAAAAGTACCTTGAGGGCACATCCCTCATGGAGGGATACTGCCTTAATCTAGAGACAGGAGAGAAGTCCTAGTCCCTACTTCAGATGACTTGTCAGATTTAGATGACCCCTCCTGGATGGCATCACCCTACATGTGGGGGGGGATGGGAAGGGAGGGTGGTCTGGATACATGTGAGGGGAGAAGAGAGGGAAAGAGGGAGTGAGGAAGGGGGTAATGGAGGGAGGCAGAGAGAACTGGGATCGATATGTGAAATAAAAAAAATAAATTAAAAAAATAGCATTCTTAAATTATCTAACTCCTGAGACCAGATGAATCTGAAAAAGCTGAAGGAGATACAGAACTCTAAGCAATTTTGCAATATATAATGGAAACACCCATTGCATCACTAAGGTATTCAGAAATAGACTACTAAGAATTTAATATGTTATATTTGATTTTTAAAAGCTCCTAGATATTTACTGGCTTTACAGTTGGCATAAAATATTAAGTTATTCGCAAAGACTTTTTAACCTCATAAGATTTCCTGATGACACAAGATTTTTTTTTAAGAAATCATCTTAATATCTTGATATTATATGTATGTGGAAGGTACACATTATTTTTATTTTTTATAATTTTACATTTGAAATTTATACTAATAATGTTTCTACAATTGTGAAGATTTCAAGATAATGGGAAGATGCCACATTAATGGAAAAGTTACAAACACATTTTACACGATTTTTATATGTAACTCTGAAGGTTATCCACATTCAACATCTTTGGGATGACAGCCTCAGGCTAATTCTAGTTATATGCTTCTTGTCTTTTATTACACTTACATTCTTATATTTTTATAGTGTCTATGGTCATATGGAACTTTATATATGAACATACATCTATAATTCTTCAATATAACATCATGGCTTTATTAAAGTACAAAAAAATAGTCATAAGCCATCTGTAAATCCAAACGAAGGAGAGACAAAACACACTGACCTGATTTGATTCCCTAATTTAACTAATGCTGTGACTGCCACACACATCAGTATTCCATTGAAGAGATGACCAGCTAACTCATTGACCTATGTATAATTTGTCTTCTTACTCCAAACCGAACTCAGTAGGAAAGATAATTTGTGCTGGGCATAATTTTCTCTTAATTAAATGAATTTCAGAGTGTATTAGATAATTAATCTTCAGAGAATGAACATTGTTCTTCCTTAGTTTTAATATACTTTCTATACTGAGCAAAGCTATCAATGCAATCTAAATTTGAGATCACCTACTAAACAGAGATGAAGCACTCATTTTGTGCATGCATTGTGGTTTAACATACATTATGAACGTACCTGAAAATGATAGTTTTTAAATGCATCATTAAAATTCCCTCATGGACTTTCAAAAGTGTAATTGTTGTGCTTTCAATTAAACTTTTATTCTATTACATAGGAGATATGATGATAATCTTTGCACTTGTTTCCTGCTGAACCATCTCTGTGGTCACTGTGTGTCTTATGATGTATGCTGAAGCAAAAGAATGGAGAATTCAGGGCCCACCCATGGCTGAATGAGTTAGACCCTATTTCAAAGACAAAAAAAGTTCAACAACAAAAACTAAAACAAGTAACCAAATAATCATTGTTTATATTTGCTGAGATTACACATTATTTCCTTATATTATCACCTTACTTTTATTTGAGAATATTAATAATTTTATAGACAAAGTTGTTTTCTGATCGTAATTAAATAACCCCTGTTCTTTTTTGACATTCTAATGCTGTCAGATTAGGCAATTTTCTATCCCTCCCTCCCTCTCTCCTTCCCTCCCTCTCTCTTTCTCCCTCCCTCTTCTCTCTCATTTCTAACCCCCCTCTCCTTCTCTTTCTCTCTCTGTCTCTCTGTGTCTCTCTCTCTCTCTCTCTCTCTCTCTCTCTCTCTCTCTCTGTTCACAGATTTGAGAGACTGTTGCTTTACAAAACAGATTTTAGTTTGGGGAGATGAAGAGATGGAACAGTATTTTAAGAATGTTTGCTTTGTTTTCAGAATTCCCAACATCCTCCTCAGGTGGCTTTCACCAGTATCTAACTCCAGAGAATCAGTGCCCTTTTCTGACCTCTGAGGGGTGCCTGAATGCACATATATGTACCACCCATCCCCATATACACAAATAATAAACATTTAAAAACATTATAGACTTCATATTTTGTTATCTGCTGGCCAAATAAAACACCATATTTTTACTCTTCAATATAGTTATCAAAGATGGTAGCTTGAAATTTGTGCTTTTATATAGTATTCTCTTATGCAGAACTAAACGTTCTACAATTATATGTTCTTTTTCTATTTTACTGTAAAACACCTCCAATTTGTACTTGTCCCTCAAATATCAAACATATTCTACTGGCTCTAGCACTTAAAATAACACATGGTTGATACAGTGTTCTGTCTTTTATCCCCCTTAGTGCTTTAATGTTTTTATAGTACAGCTTTTAATGCTCTGTGTAAGGCTAGCTTGTCTTTAACTCCCATTCTTCTTGGCTCAGCCTCCCAAGTCCTGGGATTTTAGGTGTGTATTCCCATGTCAAGCAAAATCATCTCTCTCTCTCTCTCTCTCTCTCTCTCTCTATATATATATATATATATATATATATATATATATATCCATCTCTGTGTGTCTGTCTGTCTGTCTGTCTGTCTGTCTGTCTGCCTGTCTGTCTGTCTGTGTAGGTGCACATGTATCCATAACGATGAGCTGGCAAGAAGTTGTTGGACGTTCTATTTTTATTATTACCCCCTGTATTTTTTGAGAGTCTCTCTAAGTTTAGAGCTCACTGATTTTTTAATTTTGTTTTTCTAGACTGGCTTCCTCTAAATCCCCTGGGTTCTCCCTGTCTCTGTCTCCAACCATAGTATTGTGGTTGCATACATAGCCATAATGGCCAGATATTAAGTGGGTTTTGGTGATCCATACTTGGACCTTCCTGCTTGTACAGCAGAATTTTACCAGCTGCGCCATCTCCCCATACCCTGAAACATTTACATTCAAAAATAAATTTTGCATTTTATGGCAGTTACTCTTAGTAAGTAGAGAAATGAGTTAATTTTCAGCAGTATGCTGCCTTTGGGGGATCAACATACATGTGTACACGTAACTTGCTCTGTTTCTTTACAGAAAGCCACATCCTGGAAGATGTCAACAAATGCATTATAGCCTTGAGGGACCAGGATACTGACAACTTAGACCGAGCTGCAGGTGCCATCAGAGGAAGAGCAATAAGAGTAGCTCACATTGTCACGGGTGAAATGGACAGTTACGAACCAGGTGCTTACACTGAAGGTGTTATGAGAAATGTCAACTTCCTCACAAGTACTGGTGAGTGTCTGTCCACCAGGACAGCTACACAGTTCCTCACATGGGAATCTGCATAGCAACCAAGTGTCAGCAAATAGGAAGATAAAAGGTCTTGGTCTGTGTCACTTGATTCCACACATAGCCCATCACTATACCATGTTATTGGTGTTTGATATTCTATCAGTGTGTGATTTGAAGCTTATCCCAGTGGGAAAAATATATATTCATTGAAAAAAAAAAAAAGGTCTTTTCAAATACATGCATTACTCCCAGGCCTTAGCCACTTGTGAGTGTTTATTAATGTTAGAGATGTTTAGAGCTATAATTAGTCCAGCATGGGGTTAAGCATGCAGGAGTTTGCAGGCTTTCAATTGGCTATATTATTGGTACCCCAGGGTTTCTTATTATTTAACCATAGCAGGTTTTTCCTATGTATCCAGGGACATGCTGGCTACCTTTAACTTTCAGTTCTGTGGAAAATAGCTTTCTATTCTCGCCCAAATTCTTTCATTGTTTAAGAAATATATAATACATGACTGTTTTGGTTGAAGTATTCAAGTGACTATTTTCTAAAATTGGGCAGAGAACACTTTGAATCACTCAGTATGATGACTTTTCCTCTTACATGCTATTGTTAACATTTCTCCAAGAGACCCATGGATATGCCAGATTCACATGGATTTATGAACAAGGATGGAAGTCAACAATTTTTATAGATCATTATGGCAGAGTTCCCTCCTATGAACTCCCTTTGTGAATCTGAAAATCTTGTGTATTTTCAAAGCCTCATATATATATATATTTGTAATTATATGTCTATTATTGCCTCTTGACAATAGACTGGTATTTTAACTGGGACTCCTGCCACTTCCATATTGAAATTATCCTTTCTTAAGAGATAGATAAGGCATGTTAACTTTGAAAACTTTTTGTATTGTTTGTGAAAAGAGAAGAATGGGCAATACTTTCAATTCAATTTTTATACTTTATTTTATGTGTTTAGATGTTTTGTTTATGCACATGTATAGGTGTGCCCCCCCAAGCCCACAAAAGGACATCAGACCCCCTGGAACTAGTGTTACAGACAGTGTGATCCATTATGTGGATAATTAAAATTGAACTCAGGTCCTCTGCAAGATCAGCCAGTGCCCTTCACTGCTGAGCTATCTCTCCATCACTGGTGGGTGATCTTCAAAAACAAAACTAAACAGCAACAATAACAACAATAACAAAACACTTCTTTCATTTTAATTTTTGCAGCTCTCTTGAGATGATTTAGGGAAATATATCAGTAGTTGATAACTTCATTATCATCTCTTTAAACATTTTTCCAAAATAATGAAATGTTCTGATGAAAGGTGGGAAAAGCACATCTATAGCTCTAGATATTAAACTGGTATTTCCACACCCACTTCTCAAAGATATTTGTGTAACAAATCAAGCACATAGTCAGTTATTCTTGCATTCCCATCCCTCAGATTAGGCAGGCATGTGTCTGAGGCAGAGTATTGTCATGAATTCAAGGTCATCCTGTGCTACAGTTTGAGACCCTGTTTCCAAACAAAAAAGAATTGAGAGCATATTGGTTGTTTCTTCTATTGTGTGGAAATATGTGTACTTCCTAGTTGGTTGTCTTACAGTCATTTAAGATTGCTATTTAAGATTTGTGTGATCAAATCAAGTACTAGTTATCTGTGTTCACTCAAGGGAATAAGAGTTTATTCTGCATTTTGAGTAGCCAAGGCCCATGGACACATATTTACCTTACCCCAACTTGCATGCTCCAAAGTAGAAGCAGTTTTGTGAAATTGTATAGTTTTATAGAACAAAGCATGTCATAAATCGAGCTAAGTTTAGAATACATTGGTGGCTCCACCAGAAAAAAACAGGTACAGCAAGCTTGGGGGAGCTTTTCTATGGGCCCATGATACTATTTGTTGACATTGTTAGCATCTGATATAGTGGAAGCTAGGATCCACTAAATTAATGGGCTCTATTTTTCACCTTCCAAAAAAGCATTGTAAATATCAGGGAAACTGTATGAACCACTTCCTTTTAATCCAAGTGAAAACTCCCTGTGGGGTGGAGTAGCAAAAGTTAACCAGGCTGCTAAACCTTGCTTGTATCTCAGTTTTGTGATTGCATTAGGTGACTCTCACCTGCAGACTCTGTGGCCCTAACATCTATATGAGGTGCCAAGTGTGCAGTTTTATACCTCATAGACAGAGAATGCATCTGCCAGATCCACAGAATGAAGTGGGAGTGAGTTCCTATGGTGTTCATAACTGTTGGCAGTCATTCTACATCACAAAAAGTAGCAAAACTAGCCAGACATTGAAATACATTTTTGTTAATGCATCTGTAGTTATTAATGACTGTACCAAATAGCTGAGCAATGGGGCAATACTTTCACAATCAGAACTAACAAAACCCCAAACCCTTTCCTCTATTTATTTGTAAGATAACATTAATTAAAATATCCCATTCAGATTATGTCTTACATTCCAAATGTGAGATGTATATAATATTTCTGAGATATTCTGTAAAAAGTGAATCTTATTATTAAATGCATAATTTATGACTCCTAATTAATCATCTTGGACTCTTTCAGATAATCTTTAGGTGTATCCATGAAGTATGCTTCTGTTTTCTTCTTTGTAAAAATAAGTCTAATTCAGACTTTCCTCCAAATAGGTTTCCTTGAAATTTATCAAAAGCATGCCTCACAAAAGAGAATTCAGAGCAATGAATTAAATGAAAAACCTAATTAGATCCGTTTGATCTTAACCAAAGCTGTGTGCTTTCTTTCTCCCATGGAGAGATCATCTATGGAAAATATTTCCAACTCTTCTGTCCTCCATCATTGACTGCTGGGAAATGTTCATCTTTGTTCACCTTCGAGTCATATCTCGACTTATCATTTAAATACTAATCAAATTACATAATTGGAAATGTCATGTTTTCTGTGTGAAGCCTCAGTCACTCTCATTATAGCAAAAGAATAATAATGTGGCCTGTTTTTCTCTTTGTTTCATTTTCTTTAAATCAGGGTTTAGCCCAGCTTCCTGAAAGTAACTTAATGGGAATCTTCTGTGAATTGTTTTCCTTTTTTTTTTCTTTTTTTTTTTTTCTTTTACATTCCTGATATCCTCCAGTGTTTAGAAAGTTTAACTTAAGTATCATCAAGAATGGTGAAGCATATGGTATCTTGTCTCAGTTACTGTGAGAGTTCATGGAACATGGTGCCTTGGTTTTTAATCAGAATTGACGGCTTATTAATGAGTTTCTGGATTTTATGACCCTGTATGTTATTCCCCACAATAGGATATGAGGTTGCCCTGCTTCAGTCAGCATTGCCCACACCCAACCCCTCAAGTGTTTTAAGTGAAATGCAATCAATAATGTAGAGCTGATGTTTGTCCACAGAGCCATAGCATCGTAATCTTCAATTGAAATCCTGTATGCTCCCACAATTCAACCAAAACACCGAGCTCCTCCACTTGCTCAGAATCTCTTCTGCAGGTGCATTGTATTAGTTTGTTGTTTGAGACAGGGTCTCTCCATGTAGACCAGGCTGGCTTTAAACTCAGAGGTCCTCCTGCCTCTGCCTACCAAGTCCTGGGGTTAAAGGCATGAGCCACACATCTGGCCTGGATTAGTTTTTTTTTTTTTTAATTAACTAACTTGCAAGACTTCAACATTAAATCTAGAAGTTGCATCCTTAATACCAACCTTAGTTATTTCTTATGATGTTAGGGAGAGGCCAATTTTGCTGGAGTGAACTAGCCCAGTATATTTTCTTGTGGCTATTGGCTCTATTAAAGTCAGTAATCAGCAGATCCAAAGGCATCTGTTGTTGCAGACCATCAAACTCTACCAAGTTTCACTGTCAGCCAGAAATAGAGATAAACACAGAGCAGACACATAAATGACCTTGGGCAAGACATCCTGATTACCCTTACTGTTACTGGGAATAATAGTACATTTATCCAGTGACTGGTGAATCCCAAATTGCAGATATAGCCCCTTGGATAGAATCTGTGCCTATCAAGCACAAATTCCTGGGTTGTATCTCAGCACCATGGAAATAAGTAATCTCAGCACTTGGGAGGTGGAGGCTGGAAACCAATAGGTGATACTTCATCTACAGACATTATAATGTCTAACCCATGAGAATGAGACCCTATAAAACACAAAAATAAACAAAGAGGAAAAAATGCATTCCTGAAAGCCATTCTTTCTTAGAACTCTGGGGACTTAGACTGTTATTACACACACCCAAAGGTAGTTGCGAAACTAAAAATGTTGTTTGAGGCCACCTGAGAAAAATTCTGTTGTGTTTTTTCCTGCATACCAATTTAAATAACAGATATAATTGACTAAACTGACCATTAAATTGATAGAATGGATTGTGTTGGTAAGCTAAACTCAGGCAGACTGCATTCCATATTTTGCTTCTCTAACAGACAATCCTAAGAAGCAGTTACACATAAACGCCGAAGGATATGGTTCAAAGGTCCTGGATCTCTGCAGCATTTGAATATTAGTATTCTACATTCTGGGTGTGACTAAAATTTCCTCTGACCAGTAAAGGAAGCAATAGAATTTTCATTGCAGAGGTGGTTGGGGCTTCCTAGCATCTTCTCCTTTGTTGTTCCTGAACCACTATCTCTAACAAGTCACCTTCCCCTCCGTTTCCTCATATTGTCAGTCTGTTTCATTTAATTTCTTTTCCTCAAATTCACTCAATGTATTTTCCATGGTGTGTTACCAAAGACACAGCCTATATGATCTCACTGGATACTTCCCAATCATTTTGATACACTGAGATTGTTACCATCTCTAGATATGACCCATGTCGTGCCTCTTGTTTTGAAATAGCCTCACCTGTTGTTTAACATGTCAGATTATATTCATCTTTCAAAAAACTGCTTGTAGTCTCAACTTATAGAAACCTTTTTATTTCTTCCAGCAACAGTAATTTCATTCAGTTCAGTGTAATGTGACCCTTGAGGGATATT